CATCCTATCAGTAAACAGTGCTGATGATAGCATTTCACGAAATGTAGCTTACCTTGACAGGTGATGCCCTGCCTTCCATCCCGGCAAGCACAGACATTGGGAGCTATGCAGAAGCCACTGCCACAGCCAAAGGAACACAGTGCTAGGAGGAGGACCAAGAAAACATTCATTAGTCTGTGTGTGTTTGTGTGTCTGTGTCTGTGTGTGTAGGTGTGTAGAAATGCAGACAGAATGGCTGTGGTAAGGGATGCTGGTAGTTATAGTTCAGCAATATCTGGAGGACTGTTGTTTTCTAGCTCTAAAGTAAGCAACACTTCATCAGAAGTAGGTAAGACTCTCCATAGAATAATTGTAAAATTAGAGTTCCCAGATGAGTTGGAAGAAGAAAATGCCCTAAAAGCAAAAGCTCAGCTTCAGTGCTAAGTACTTTACTGGAGTGTAGTCATCTATAGCATGGTGGGACATTGGTCCTACTTGCCTCATAAAGGGCAGCTCTGCTGATCACTGTTCATATCAGTTGCAGGACTTTCTGTTGCTGTTGTTCCCTGGCTGCCTTCCTTTAGAACTCCTTGTGTGTTCTCTTAAGATTATGATAACCCTTGCAGCAAAGCATTAATGAGCATCAGTTTGCTAATAAGGATTAAAAGTAATGTAGTGCTGGCTAATTTTGCCACAGGTTCTAGAAACTTACGCAGTGTGCATTGTCCGCTCCCTGGAGATGGTATCCATCCAGGACAGCATCCACTTCCAAAACCAGAGAGACAAATATGTGGTCCAATGCGACGTCTACAATAGAAGAGGCAGTTTGTGATTCAACCTCCCTCCCTCTCCTCCTTCCTTCTCTTTTTCCCTTTTTGTTTGTACATAGTAATTGAGCATTGCCTATGCAGAACGGGACTTAAATACTGTGGATAAAATGCTAACTACAATCTGACTTGCAACTATTTAAGCCAACCACAGAGCTTCTCTAGCTGGACAGTGCTGGCACAAAGCAAAACATAACAGCGTGTTGGACTAAATTGATGCTGTGTTCAACACACAACGAAACTATTTGGATGAAAGGTACAGTGGATCAAATTACACAGAGAAACCATTCTTTCTTGGCAGGAGGGAACACAGACTTGCAGAAGCTATCAATTTAACAGTTTATAGTAGCTAGATTTGATGGCTGTCCAAAACATTTTGGAGAACAAAAGATAATATCCTATCCTGCCTAGTCAGAGGACCACAGTAGCTAGACGTGATTTTTACACAAGAGGGATAACATTCTAAGCATCTCTCTTCATCCTTAGTAGTAAGTTTTTAAGTAATTAAGAAATTAAACTTCAACCCAGCACGCCAGCCTCATTCTTCTTATTCTGGTTGTTGTGCAACCAGGGACGACAGAAGATGAGGACAGGGAAAGAAAAGGACAGAAAAGCTGGGGGATCAAACAAATCGGTTTTTTCAGCAAAGCTCCCCATCTCATCATTTCCAGACTGCATTTGCAGCTTATAGAATTATACGGGGGGGGGGGGGAAGGGTTGTTCATATATAGGAAAGCAGCTTCTCTTTTGATCACTGTGAAAGGGGCTGAATGCAAGGCGTCAAGGTGCTTTGGCTTCAGAGAGAGTAGGAGAAGTTCCAAGAGGGAGATAAGGCAGGAATTCTCACCAATACAAAATTTCTTACCCTGCAGCACCAGAATAAATGTTACAAACTGTCTTCACTGAGTTCCCTCTGGAGTAAGAGCTAAGATGGAAGTTAATCCGTTCAATGTTGAAAAGTTGGGGGAAACTGCCAGCATCGTGGAGACTGGGGCATGTGTTTTTTTATTGACCTGGCATGGCTGCTGTTGGGCTGGCATGAGTCCAACAAATGGAGACAGAACAGGGGGCAAGAAGCTCGTTTTCTAGCCTTGCAGTGCAGCTGCACTGTCAGGAAGGATGATGAGCTGACCTGGCTGCTAGCCAGGGCTTTCGTAAGGAAATGTTGAGAGAACAGTCCTAATGGTTCAGGCTACTATATAGGTGTTGTGGACTAGAGCTCTGGGGCAGGGGGGACCCCCATCTCCTCAATTGCTTGGGTACTGCTGGCAGTATGACCCAAAGTTGGGGAGAAAGCTTGCTGAAGACGAAAGAAAGAGGGGGGAAAGGGCTACAAAACAGAGTGGCTGGGGAGAAAAAAGGTGGAGAGCAAAGATACATGAATGTGAGAAGCAGTTGTCAATTCCCAGAAGGGGGATGGAGAAAAAAAGTCTATAGGAGGCTTTCGTGGAGGAAAGGAAGGGAAATGATAACATCCTCGTAGATGACCATGACCGAAGACAGGAAGAAGGGAGGAAAGAGACAGTTGTGTTCACAAAGCCCTGGGGGAGAATTAGTCAGAAGTCCCTGAAAGAGATTCCCCAATGGACAGGAAGGTGATCTGTGCAAAGCATACCAGCAATAAATCCAGCCCATTCCTTCCCCCCTCCCCCACCCCAGCTTGTTTTTGTGCCAATTGCTATTTTTATAACACACCTCCAGCTCTAAAAGAATTAAGTTACAGTGTGACAAGTGTGCAAGGGACACAAAAGTGTGGCTGTTGACCAGAGATGGTCACAGTTTTGCATAAGATGTGCCAGAGAAGTCACTCAATGACACTTAATGGTTATTTCGCTCATTGCACAGGCTCAGTTGGTCTATCTTCATGCATAGAATAGTGATGCAACCATTCCCTGTGCTGGGTTCAGGTTGCTCATGAACTATAGAAAAGTGCCCTGGTGGGCCTGCAGGATAAGTTTCTCTTCTCACACAAAAGAAAACGGAGCCCCCACCTTACAAATTGCATTAATAAAATGAAGCAAGACTGTTGAAAGAAAAGAGGGCTTGGAGCAGGCAAGGAAGGAAAGGCTACATCCAGACACATGGCATGGATAATCGGAGCAGAAGTTCTTCCTTAGACTAAAATATAATAACTAATTATCATCACTAACATGAACAGAAGCACATCTATGGAAACAAGCTGTCCATTGCCATAGACGCATAGAAACATGGGACAAGTTGGCATCCTGAAAGTTCAGTGAAGGAAACACACCATCTCACCTCCCTCCATTTTGCTTCCAAGCACAGACCCTCAGTTGTGTAGCCAACTTTTCGTTTTGGCAAACTGGTTTAACTGGACATTCAGTCCTGAACGGCAGTTTTGGACAGCACACGCCTCAACAGCTTGGTCACCTCCAGAACTCTGTCAAGCTGGAGAGAGATGGCTGACAGAGACACCAAGTAGTAAATAGGAAGGAAGGAAGGAAGGAACGAAGGAAGGAAGGAACGAAGGAAGGAAGGAACGAAGGAAGGAAG